TTTTTGGGGGGGGGGGGGGCGTGTTCACCTCACATTGCACACACAAAATGCATGTGGTCTGCCAAGCCAAGAGGGTCCTGTCCAGCTGCTCTGCACACGGGCGGTCTTTCCTGTCCCTCATCGTCTCCTCTCAGTACCTAGTACCCTACTTCTGAACGTACCCTACTCATTTTTTTGGAAACCGATAGCCAGGACGTTGTCATGATGAATAGCCCAGAGGGTGCCTATCTCTGCTGAGGGCGATTCACCACCACAGAGGAACAGTGAGAGACACAGGTCTTACCCCTAACCCTAACAACACAGCAAGAAATGACTTGTTGTAACAATACAGTTGCTTACGTGCATCACCTACAGATAGAGAGCGTCTCCACTTGAGAACCTCTAATTTGGCCCGAGACTCGGGTTCGTTGTCCTCTTCTTTCTTGTGGGTTACAAATGGCCACTATATTGGTTTGACGTAGGGCTCTTGACCGGGCTCACAAACCACACACGGTGCTTACTCAAGGCCATAATATGTTCGATACAATGTTGAGCGTGAAGTTCTTGACTGCCGAACAAGTTGCGAAAATAGGTTCGAGCGCACTATCTGTACCTCCCCAACGTGTAAATAGCCGAATGGAAAAATAGTTGCGTTCCGTCCACGTCGTTTGTGGGACTAATGTACGCCGCCGGATTTAGAAGTTAGACGGACATCAGAACGGTTTGAAAAGCACAACAAGAAGCTCGCTACTACACCCCAACATGACCGTAAACAAGTACACAATACATGGCGGGTACCCGGGTACGCGTACCGGCCCGGTTTTATTCCTGAGTTCTGGGTCACCCGAGGACGGCCCTCTCCGGAAGTAAGCCGGGTACCCGGATATGTAACCCCGGGTACCCGGCGAGCCTCAACCCTAGCATATGGCCCCCTTTGGAAGCCAGAACGCTGCGGTGCGTGTCAAAAAGTTGACAGGGTCCCTTGTTTTGCTCAACGTTGAGCATTTGAATCCACCGATAGAGGTTGGCAGAGGCCGGTGTCCCCATGGTGAGGGTCCGCACGAAATGGCGAGTTCTGTCTGCGTGAAGATATTTCGCCCACAGACCATCGGGCAACCGCACTGTATATCCGACGGGCCTCCCACAGACGTTGATACGGCCCCGTATTGTTTGCGACGAAGGAATCCGATCATTTTGCCAACCTCACCGGCTAGACGAGCCAAGAATGATACGAGGCGTACTAAATCTCGCCGGAGTATCACCTGCAGCATAATGAATCGATAGTGCTGAAGGTGCGTTCTTCGAACCGCAGGAACGCGCTCAGCTTTGGGTGTTGGCCTTGCTCTCGATGGCATTAGGTTCTTCAGGCGGTGTACTAGACCCGCTGATTCCGCCGGTTCTAGAATATTGCTGTGGGGGGTTCATGTCAATCGTGATCCTCGCGGTGGCGATGGAAAGGATGTTTATGCGGCCTGTCGCCAAGTACGATGCACGACATTCTTTCCCGTTGGACACGTCAAAGTTGATTCTGAGATAAGTATTCAGTATCTTCGCCCGATAAGGGTGACTTGAGCGTGTCGAATGGAAGCTCGCTTCTTGTTTCTTAACGAGTTTGATTTTCGTTGCAATACGGGTTCAACGCCTTGTTCGTCATGTAGTAGCAGCATTCGTGGGGCTGCAGTCCCTGCATGAGAAGAAGTAAAATGATCGTTCTGGAGGCAGTGTTCCAACCATCGCATACCCTGTGTCACCAGGTTGTCCTCCCCCCTCGACTATTTGCGCTTCAGGCACCGAAGCAAACGCTGTCTTGAGTTTCCTACGGTGCTCCTATCACGCGAATTGGATATCACAGGTCTCCCCCTCATGAGTGTATCAAAGCACCCTTGCTACAGCATTTTTCGGCTGAGGCCGTGAGCCGTTCAACCAATACGTTAGCGCTACCTCTGCGTTATCTCTTTACACTTCATGAACTCGCTTGTTAATGCGGCATTTTTTCTGCCCAGGCCGCGAGTCATTCAACCCCGCTAACTCTGCAAGAACTGTCTTTTCCATCGCAGGTCCGAGCCGCTGCCTGGACGCCTTCAAAGTCGCCCTCAACCAGGCATGCGATGGCGGCGGATGGTATGTGTCCACGGAACAGCTCCAGCTTTCGTCATTGCCCTTCTGCGTGGCTTGCCGGAGCGTGCCCACCATGCACCTGAAGGTAGACCGCAGCACGCCTGCCCGTCTTTTTTCGGGCGATGACGATGCCGCTGCCGTGCGGGACAAGGGCCATGGCAGCTCCAAGAGAGTCATGGCAGCACGGGTGCCTGCCTTGAGGGCGCGCAAGGTTACGTGGCAGCTGTCGGGCGAGACGCCCCGGTGCACTGGAGTTGGGTTGTCGAGCGTCGAACTCTTCGTCTTGGGTGATGCTGTCAACGACAGCATGGACGAAGCAGTATGGTCCGATGGGATGAGGAGCCTCAGTCTCGGGCAGATGTTTGACCAGCCGATTTCGAACCTGCCGTGGCCGGTGGCACTCCGAGAGATAGTTTTCGGGAACCAGTTCGACCAGCCGATCCACGAGGTGAAGTGGCCGGTGTCCTTGCAGCGGATGGCGTTCGGCGAGCAGTTCAACAAGCCCTTTGACGAGGTCGCGTGGCAAGCATCACTGCAGGAATACATCTTGTGATTCTGTCTGCGCGACGTTTGATCAGTGTGTCGACAATGTTAAGTGGCCATCGTGTCTGCGACGCCTGATCCTTGGGTGGCAAGTTAATCACTCACTCGACGATGTCTCATGGCCAGAATCGCTTCAGCAGCTCACTCTGAGCGACTGCTTCGACCAATCGATACACGAGGTGAAGTGGCCGCCATCACTTCAGCAGCTGACCTTCGGTTACCAGTTCAACACGCCGATTGACTTCATTCCTTGGCCGCCATCCCTCAAGGAGCTAACCTTTGGGTACCACTTCGATTGCGAGTCGGCCTGGTGCAATGGCCACCATCTTTGGAGAAGATCACTTTCGACCTAAAATTCAACCAGAAAATAGAAGGGATCTCGTTCCCACCGTTCCTGCTCGAAGCACTCACCGGTGACCCAGACTTTTGCAAGGCGATCGAGTGGCCAGACTCTCTTTAAGAAATGACAATCGGGGGCGAATTCAACCAGCCAATTGAGAGAGTCGCATGGCCGGCGTCTTTGCAACGCTTGACCTTCGCAAATTTTGGCGGGGAATTCAACCATCCAATCGACAACGCCTCATGGCCGGCGTCATTGCAGGACCTGAATCTTGGTGCAAAATTCAATCAGCCGATTCACCGCGTGATGTGGCCTATATCGCTGCTAAAACTGACCTTCGGTACATTCGGAGAATTCAACCAGTCCATTGATCAGGTCGAGTGGCCGGCGTCATTGAAGGACCTGACTCTTGGTGCAGAATTCAATCAGCCGATTCACCGTGTCACCCAACTGACCGGCGTCGCTACAATGCCTGGGCTTCGGCGACGGATTCAATTAGCCGATTGATCAGGTCGTGTGGCCCTCGTCACTACAACAGCTGGCACTTGGGGATGAGTACGGTCGCGGGACTGGATTCAACCAGCCCATTCATCTGGTCTCGTGGCCGGCCTCTCTGCTCCAGGTAAGAAGTTAGTCTTGAGATCGAGAGCGAAGTTCTACCGTCGGGCGAAGAAGACGTTTCACATCGATAAGGTACCTCACCCTGTTGGAAAACTACGCGATACCACGGGTGTGTTTTGTTTTTAAAATGTCATTTTATTTTACGGTGACAGACGACACCACACCCCATCAAATTGAGCCGAATGTTATCCACGGACCCCCCGTTAATCACATGGTGTGATAACACGTGATCACGAGCACCCTAGCGCAAGCAACCCGCACAGATATGGAGATCGACAACAAGCACCGCCTGTGGAGGGGGATGCATTCAACAACGTTGCTATATATGAGCCACGCTCAATATCGTGTTCGTTCATCCGCCCTGGGGGCAAGTGTGGCTCGCGACTCCCTCAGCAGCCATTCTGACACACAGGTGGTGCTCCCCTATAGGAAAAACGCCTGATTAATTCTGGGAAATGGATGAAAGTGGGTACATACCAACAGCTTTTTCGGACAAACGGCGGGTATTTTCCGAGACTACTCGTAACAGGGCCGAACCACTCGAACTCTCGTTCCGATGCCTGAACAACATGGGCAGGGTCCACGCACTGCATGAACATAGGATTTTTCAGACTTTCGGGAACGCCTTCACCCCACTCACCTCCGCGACGCACAACAGATTGGCCGATTTTGTCCATTTCTTGTTGTTTCGAAATGTCCCCCTTTGCGGCGACGTTGAGGGCTATTTTGATTCAACCAAGCCGGCAAAAGTATATTTCGTTGGGTATATCCACCGGAGTTGCGGGCAACATCGGGAAACCTGTGGAGGCCTTCTACACCGCGGCGGTGTGCGGGGTGAAGACGTGCCCGAAATACCTAAATCATTGATGTCCATGCTATGCATGGGCCCTGCTCGTATTTTCCAGGCATGGGAACGAGATTTTTAGTGGTTCGGCCATGTCGCGAGTGGTCTCCGCAAAAAAATATCGAGTGCCACTTTTGTCCCAGGGAGCGGTTGGCACACCCCCTTTTTGTCCATTTCCTACTCCTACAAGTAGTGTTTTAGACGGACGAAAAATACACTGTGGAATCACAACCCGAAAGGTTGTGCCGCGAGGAACCCTGGATTGTTTGTGGTCCGTCTCTATATAGGGGCGACACCAGAACTTTTTGCAACCCACCGATGCAGCTATTCAGCCTCTCGACTCCAGGGGGAATTAAATCTGAATTCGAAACAATGACATAACAGTTCTGATGGTACCAGGTGTGCTTCCAGGATTCGAATTTCCACGATAGTTTTCTGTACCTTTGGAGGGAGGCTAATATTGTATTCGTTTCTGGAGTCCTCTTCGCGCTGCCCTGCAGCCCATTTCCCTCATCTGCTAAGTACTTGAGTTCAGAGTTATATTGGGTCCTTTTTGTCAGACTTTTGCGCCCCAATTCCGATCGCCGTGGTGCCGATCAATAAGTCTACAGGAGTTTTTCTCCTGGTTTGGTCCTCTATCTCTAGCATGGTGGAGTATTAGATGGTGTGGCAAGCAGCTGGGAAGCAGCGTGCTGTTCCCGTTGGCAGGTTTGATTAAACTTTGGCGTCTGTTTGTCCTCCCTCTTGATATACCATATCGAGAGGTTGTCGGAAAGAAAACATGAATTGCCAAATCTGGCGGCGGAACACTTCAGACTGTCCAGTCGGTGACCTTTGTCAAGATGCTTGGTTTTTTATTTTGCTGTTTGGACGGGATAATGTTCGTGTGACAAGAGCGCCACCCTCAATTCCATGCCTTCGCTCTCGTTTTCACAAATGTCTTGGTAGGTGACGTTTGGCAGAGACTTCAAGCAGCCGATTCGCGAAGTCAACTGGCCCTCATCGCTACAGCGATTGGAGTTCAAGAGTGCCCTCCAATGGCCGGAGGAGGGAGTCACCTTTCCGGCATCGCTGCGACAGATAGAGGTCCAGCGACGACCAGAGGAGCCGCTGCCGGAAGTGCCTGGTGTCGACGTATGCAGATTTTGGAACAAGTACTAGGTTGACTGACGATTGCATCACGATACTTGACACGGGAGGACTCGATATAGGATTGTGAGGCCATGAGTGAGTTTGTTTGTGCCCCATGGGAGAGTTGTGATGGGATCTTCGGTGGCAAGTCCCTTCACCTCCTTGGACAGGACGACGCACGCGTTTTGTTCCTTTTCGGAATGTATATGCATTTTTTTTTGTGGGTTTAGCTTGACGTTTTCTCGAGGGGTGGGGTGGGGGAGGAAGTAGGGTGTTTTATAGGAGGCAGGGGCATGAAACTTTGTGTGGGACCACGGATTGGAGTTCCTACACGGGAGAAATGCTGTGTGTGTGTGTGTGGGTGCTGACTTGAAGTAATGAAACAAATAGTGGGAGTCCGAGGTGAGGGGTGAAGGATTCAGGGTTCGACGGGAAACGTACACACGGATATACAGGAGACGTGCTTGATAGGTGCAGGAAGGTGGGGTAGCAAGTTAAGGACGCTAGCCTGGCCAGGTTCTAGTTAGGGCGAGTATCGCGAGGGGGGTTAAAGTAGTGTGGCATGAAGTCGTGCGCGTCCACAACACATTTGCATCCTAAACTCAAGGCTCATGAGCAGCACGAAGGCAATCTGGGGTTTGTGGAGCGAGACCGCCGTACAGCAGTGTGGCACGTAAGGACGTGCTATTTCTAAGCAAGTTTTACCGGGAAAATGAGAAGCAAGGGCTAAGCAGCAACAGAGTTGACACTGCGGCTGCGTGAGGAAGGCGAAAAGAGCGATCCGCTATGGAATTCGCATTCGGTAGAAGGTGGGAGAGAGGTCTGAGTAAGCAACAGGTTCGCCTCGGCTATAATAGTTGAGCTGGAAACCCTCCCGCCTACCCATGCGGGTGTTTTTCTCTTGGAAGGGGGGG